CGTCGCGTTCAAACAGACTTTCAATTGGAATTGGAACCCCTGGCAAGATTTCTGCAACATGAATGGTCAGTCCGTGAGCCAGCCCCACACGGCCCCCCAGACAGCCCCGCATTGTCCGCCCTCCGTCGGCCTGCTCCCGCACTCCCTTATTATGGGAGCAACCAGGCTGACACAACTTCTTGTTTTCATCGTCCGCACCAGAATGTTTCAAATCGTCTGCGCCCATCAGATCGTTGATCCACTTATTTAAAAAACTGGTGATCCGGCCGCCCTGCATGACTGATCCAATGATCTGGTGATCCAGTGATCCTGCAACAACACCACCCTTGATCACTCATCCGGTGCTATGGCCGTGCTGGATCAGGCTGGGATCCAAAAATCGGGTGATGATCGGGCAACCCTGGATCACTGATCCAATATCCTGTGATCCGGCCGCCCTGGATCAATGATCCAGCAATCTGATGGTCCGCTCGCCCTAGATCATTGATCCGGTGATCTGGTGGTCCAGCCGCCTTGGATCACTGATCTGGCCGTTGGATTGTGATACGGTGATCCAGTAATCCGCCCACCCTGGACCATGCAAAGATCCAAAGATCCAGCGATGATCAAGCATCCCTGGATCACTGATCTGGTGATCCGAGAGAGCGTGATCCACCGCCGCTTTACTATGGAAAATTGCCAACCTTTTCCTCCGGAACCCGGGGGTCTCCCCCCCCCCTCCGAAAATCCCCCCCCCCCTGCCGAACCCCTCCCCCCCCCCCCCCCCCCCGGCAACCCCCCCCCCCTCCCTAACCCCTCCCCCCCCCCCCCCCTCCCCCTTGAAAACCGGGGGGTCACTACCGGTTCGAACCCCCCCCCCCTCCCCCCTCCGGATCGGGGGTCACTACCGGTTGGACCCCCCACCCACGCACCGCCAGCAAACGACTCCCGGTCCCTACCACCGCTCGCATCACATCCCCCACTGTTGTTCCCAGCACCACTGTCCTCACCACCACTGTCCCCACTGGTTCCACCACCGTCCCTATTGTCCCCACCAATGCCCCCACCACTGTCGCACTGTCCCCACTGTTCCCACAACTGTTCCCACCACGGTTCCACTCTCCCCACTGTCTCCACGGACCCAACCACTGCCTATCCCCATTGTCCCCACTGTCCCACTGACTCCTCCGCTGTCCCACTGAGCTGTCCCACTGTTTCCACCACTGTCCCCACTGTCCCCACCACTGTCCCCACTGTACCTCTGTCCCATTGTCCCACCGCCGTCCTCGCCACCGCCTTTACCAGTGTCTCCACCACCATTGTACCCTCCACTGTCCCAGTGTTTCCACCTCATTCCCACTGTCCCCACACCACTGTCCCCACCACCACCGTTCCCACCACTGTCCACTGTCCCCCCTGTTCCCACCATTGTCCCCACCACTGTCCCCACCACTACCGTCCCCACCACTGTCCCACTGTCCCCCCACTGTCCCCACCACTGTCCCGCTGTCCCCTCACCACTGTCCCCACCAACACCGTCCCCACCACTGTCCGCACCCCCACTCGGTTTTCGAGGGGGGGGGGGGTTCGAACCGGTAGTGACCCCCCCCCCTTTTCATGATGAGCTGGAGGGGGGGGGGGGGGAGGGGTTCGAACCGGTAGTGACCCCCCCCCCGGTTTTCCGGAGGGGGGGGGGGGGGGGGGGGGGGGGGAGGGGTTCGAACCGGTAGTGACCCCCCCCCCGGTTTTCCGCCAGCAGCGGTAGAACACGCTCTTTCGGTGATCTGGTGATCCGGTCGCCCTGGATCTGATCCGGCAGGCTGGTAATCCGATCACCCTGGATCACTGATCTGGTGAGCAATAATCTGGCAACCCTGGATCATTGTTCTGGTGATCTGGTAATCCGGTTATCCCGCGATCCAGCCTCCCTGGATCACTATCCACAAGGCTCTGGTGATATGATGATCCGGCCGCCCTGGATCACTGATCCCGTGAAGTGGTGATCTGGTGATCCGGCCGCCTTGGACCACTGATCCAGTGATCTGGCCCACCCTGTATCACTGATTCGGTGATCTGGTGATGTGGTGATCAGCACGCCCTGGATCTCTGATCCGGTGACCCGGTGATCTGGCCAACCCTGGATCATTGATCTGGTGATCCAGCCAACGTGGATCACTGATCTGGTGATCCTGTGGTCCAGCCGCCCTGATGATGTGATCTGGTGATGTGGTCTATGAGACGGCCGGCCTGGATCACTCATCCAGAGATACGGGAATCTGAGGGTCCGGCCGCCCTGGATAATTGATCCAGTGATCTGGTGATCCAGCCACCCTGGACGACTGATCTGGTGATCCAATGATCTGGTGATCTTGCCGCCCTGGATCACGAGATTCGATGAGTCCGGCCGACCGAGATCACTGAAGATCTGGTGATCCAGTGATCCGGCCGCCCTGGATCGTTGATCTGGTGATCCAGTGATCCAGCAATGGGGCCGCCCATTTCACGCATCGATGATGCAGAGATCCGCCCACCCTGGATAATTGATCTGGTGATCTGGTGATCCGGCCGCCCTGGATCATCGGTCACGATGATCAGGTGATCCAGCCGCTGTGGATCAATGATCTGGTAATCCAATGATCCGGTGATCCAAATATCCGTCCGCCCTGGATCACTCACTGATCTGGATATTCAGTGATCCAGTGATCCGCCTGCCAGCTGGTGAACCGGTGATCCGGCCGCCCTGATCTCGTGATCCAGTCCGGTGATATAATCACTGATCTGGTGATCCAGTGATCTGCTAATGGGGCATAGCTCACTGATCTGAGAATCCGGTGATCAAGCTGCCCTGGATTGATCCGTCGATCCGGTGATCTGGTGATCCAGCCACCCCCGCTCACTGATAAAGCGATCTGATGATCCGGTGATTCTGGCCTTCCTGGATTATTGATCCGGTGATCCGTTGATCCAGCCGCCCTGCATCACTGATCCGGTGATCCAAGGATCGGGCCGCCCTGGATCACTGATCTGCTGACCTCGTGATCCAGAGGCCGTCCCGACCCAATGATCCTGTGATCTGGCACCACCCTGGATCACGTGATCCAGTGATCCAGTGATGCGGCCGCCCTCCATGGAACATTTATCCAGTGATCTAGTGATCCTGTGATCTGGCCGCCCTGGATCACGTGAACAGGTGATGTGGTGACCCAGCCGCCCCGGATCACTGCTCTGGTTATCCGGTGATCCAGTGATCTGGCCACCCTGGATCACTGATCCTGTGATCCTGTTATCCAGCCGCCCTGGATCACTGATCGGGTTATCCTCTGGTGATCCTGTCGCCCTGGATCACTGATCCAATGATCCGGTGATCTGTTGATCTGACCTCCCGGATCATTGATCTGGTGATCTGGTGATCCGGTGATCAGGCCGCCCTGGATCACAGATCGCGTGATCCAAAATTAAAGCATAGAAGGAAAACTCTAGTCGTCTAGTCGGGAAGGAATATTTGGATTTCTTGTATCTGCGCGGGGTCCCCTTCCTGGCGCGTGGAGCGCGCCATCAGGGGCGGCGCCAGAGGCCCCGCTAGGGGGGCCCAGCGCAGATCTAAAAATCCACTCGGACATCCGAAAGCTGATTCCCAAGAAAGTGCTTGCATTTAGGGGGTCGTAACTGTCCCCCCAAGGCAGTGGTTGGGTCCGACGAAGATTCGCCACGTTGCCGGCCCTTGCCGCCTCGTTACCACCTCGTGCGCTGGTTTCCGGCGAGGTTTCGCCACGTTGCCGCCCGTTGCCGCCTCGCTGCCGCCTCGTGTGCTGGGTGGGTCCGTCGAGGTTTCGCCACATTGCCGCCCGTTGCCGCTTCGTTGCCGCCTCCAGCACCACATAGCTCACACCATACAAATTTGCACCACATAGCTCACGCATCCACAATGCAATAAGTTGAAATATGGAGCCCACGCTGGCAAACATATTTACGTTTACGTCGCGTTCTCCCTTCGAGAAAAGGAGGCAGCTTCTCGATCACTCGAGGGCGAGGCCCTCCAGGGCGCCACAGCTGCATGGATTTTCACCCCGCCGGCTGCCCGTGGTGTCAATCCAGGGGGCGGGCGGTGTTATACGCCGCGAGGCGCCCAAGAAAACCTGACTCCGGCGGCGTCGAGGGCACCTACGGAGGCGCCCTGCAGGGTCCACGCGCTAGAGCCGTTCTAGAGAATCAGCGGAGGCAGGAGGGGTGGATAGTCCAGGTGCGAGCACTATACGCAGTCTCCGAGAAGCCGCGTCAAAGACACGGGCGATCGGGGGCCCTAGATACGTAGAATGCCCTCACCTGAGCTATCCGTCACGGTTGCAACCGTCCTGAGGAAGATCGGGCACCTGCCCATCACGTGACCGAGGACAAGAAACGTTGCAGTGAGCTGCGCCGCCCCTGCATCTCACGTGTTCGACAATGGACCCCTTGTTGCTCATCGGCGTTGGGCGGTCTTCGGCGGTCTTCGGCAGTCTTCAGACAGTCTTCGGCGGTCTTCGGCGGTCTTCTGACGGCCTTCGGCGGATTTCGGCGGGATTCGGCAGCTTCTGGGGGCCTCTGGCGCGAAAGCTAGACGGTCGCGTTAACGAGCGGCCATGATCGAATACCTCACCGAGTCCATGACGAAGCTCCCCCCCATCCTGCGGGAGGGCAGTGCTGATAGAATCGTGCGCGCGCGCGTGTGCGCACACAGGGAGGGCATCTGGGGTCGACTGGACATGCTGGGCGCGCCTCGGGCCGTGAGGACGCTCTCTTCAGAGGAACGTGAGGCCGCATCAACACAGTTTCTCTCATGTCCGTGCGGATCTCTTGAATCGGCGCTGGAGGCGCCGCCAGGCGGGCCCAGCGCCGACCCGAGAAATCCGCGCGGAGCTCACAAAGCTCATGCCTGCGCAGCTTTCTTCGGTTGCAGGGCGCGCCTTGTGCCGTGAGAGCGCTGCCTTGCCCTCGGCGCTGGCCGCGGGGTGCCGGCTGCGGCCGCTCGCCGCTCGGAGCGCTCAGTGCGCCGTGGCGCCCCCGTGCTCCTCTTCGTCCAGCACGACGCAGGCGGCCCGGCGACCGCACGCCGCCTCCCAGGAGAGCGCCGAGCTGCCCGTCAGGGCGCTCAGGTCCGGGGTCTCGAACGCCTCCAGGAGCACGTGCCTGGCAGCACCAGAGGAGCAACAAAAAGGCACAGGCGTGATCCCTTGAAGGTCCGCGCGGATTTCTTGGGTCGGCGCCGGAGGCGCCGTCAGGAAGGCCCCGGCGCCGATCCAAGAGATCTGCGCGGACCTCCGAGAGATCATGCTGACGCCGTCTTGCGTAATTCGAAGCATCGGTCAGCTTCGGATCGGGGAATCGGATCGGATCGGAACGTGCGTCGGATCGGCCTGCATCGGTGTGGAGTCAAGGCCGACTCGAAACGGCCGCGCCAGGATGCACGACAGCGCCATGCAGGCACCAGGCCGCATCGGATCGTCGGAAAATCGGAATCGAATCGGATCGTGCCATGTCGAACGGGATCGATCGGATCGAAACGGGCTCCGCCTGGAGCCAGACATCGCCAGGCCGCGACGCAGGAACATGTCTTCCAGCGCGTATATGCCGGCCACGCGGAAGCGCCGCCGCGGCAGGAACAGCCGCTCGCCCAGGTCCGGTGCCGCGGAGAAGGCGGAGACGTCCCTGGAGGTGACGCTCCGGATCTTGAGGACGAGCGCAGCGCCTGGCCCGCCGGTGGCGACCTCCTTGGCGAGCATGGGGTCCGCGGTCACCGAGGCGCACCCGCGCCAGGCGATGAGGCCCCCCGGGTAGAAACTCCCGATGCCCCTCTCCCCGTTGAGAGCCTCCGCCAGCTTGCCAGACGGGGTCTGCACGTTGAGCCCCACGAAGTAGGTGCCCCGCTGCGAGGGCAGCGAGTCCAGGGCGGTCTCAAGCTGCGTCAGGAAGGGCATGTACGCCTCCATCTCGGGGCGCAGGGGGGCCGAGGACTGCAGAGCCTCGAAGCCGGCGGCGCAGAGGCCGTGCAGGCCGTCGGCGGAGGCGTCGCCGATGTAGAGGCGCAGGGCTACGGCGGACAGCAAAGAGGTGGCCTGCCCCGCGGCGATGGACCTCAGGGCGAAGAGCTTGGCCGCCTCAGGAGAACAAACAACGGCACAAACAGAACGCCTCGGAGGTCCGCGTGAATCTCTTGGGTCGGCGCGCCAGGGGAGCCTAATGCCGACCCCAGAGATCCGCGCGGACGTTCTTGAGAAACGGCATTCTGTCCATCCCGTTGTTTCTTCTCCGAGGCCTCCATCAGAGTGGCGGCCTTGTCGGGCCCCAGGGTGGCCAGGAGGGCCTGGGCGGCCGCCAGGAAGTCCGCGGTCGCCGGCGGCGGCTCCTTTACCTTCTGGGGCAGCGCCTCGTGGCTGGTGATCACCAGCGGCGACGCGCTGTGGGCCATGCGGAACCCGAGCTGCCTCACGGCCTCCTGGTGCGTGGTCCTGCCGAAGTGCCTCCACAGCAGGCCAGCGTCGACCTGCATGAACTTCAGGATGTCTGGGTCGGGCTTATCCGAGTCTTCGCTGATCTGAGCGTCGCTGATGGTCCTCTCCAGCGGGCCTGGCGGGCCTGCCAGGCCGATGTCTTTCTCCTTCTCCCTCTCCTTCTCCTTGTCCTGTGGGCGGCTGGGAGCACCCCCGCGGGCCTCCAGACATTCACCGTTCACCCGGGATCCTCCCCCGAAGGCAAGTGCCAGGAGGTGTTTCCAGCCACCCGTCCTTGGCCGGCTTCTGCTCCTCGGACTTGGGACTGTTTCTGCGCTCCAGATCGCGCAGCCTGTGAAGGCCCTCCAGGTCCCCGTTGCTCAGCTGCGCCCCTGTGGCGGTCACCACTGCGACCACCTCAGTGGCGTCCCGCCAGTGCGCCCACATGAGCGGCGTGATGGTGGAGTCCCTCGCCTAGAAGTCCAGAAAGCAGCACAAGGGATCGCCTGGAGTCCCTCGCCCAGAGGTCGCCTGGAGGGCCCAGCTGATTTCTTGTGTTGGCGCTGGCCACCCTCCCTGGCGCGCAGGGCGCGCCAGAGGCGGCGCCGAAGGCGCTGCCAGTGCCCAGCGCAGGTCGAAGAAACCCGAGCGAACATCCCAAAGTCTATACTCACGATGTAACAACCCGCGAGGCGCCCAAGAAAGCCTGAATCTGGCGGCGTCGAGGGTACCTACGGAGGCCTCCTGCGGGGTCCGCCGCCGAGATCCGTTCTAGAGAATCGGCAGAAGCAAAGCGGACAGCCCAGGGGCGGGCATTACACGTAGTCGCTGGGGAGCGTCGTCCAAGACATTGGCGATCGGAGGTCCTGAATATTGCGATGCTCTCCCCGAATCAATCCGCCCTTGTTGCAGCCGTCCTGAGGAAGATCGGGCACCTCCCCATCACGTGGCCGAAGACAAGAAACGTCGCAGTGAGCTGCGACGCCTCTGCATCTCACGTGTTCGGCCATGCTGCCCCTCGGCCCTGGGCGGTCTTCGGCCGTCATCGGCAGCCTTCCAACGGCCTTCGGCGCTCCTCTGACGCCCCTCGGCGGGTTGCGGCGGTCTTCGGCGGCTTCCGGTGGTCGCTAGCGCGAGAGCTGGACGGTTGCGTTCCACAAGGGGGCCATGATCGACCACCTGACCTAAACGATGAACCCTGGTCTTCGGCGGTATTCGGCAGTCTTCTGACGGTTTTCGGCAGTCTTCGGCGGTCTTCTGACAGCCCTCGGCGGATTGCGGTGGTCTTCGTCGGCTTCTGGCGGTCTCTGGCGCGGAAGCTGGACGGTTGCGTTCCACGAGGGGGCCATGATCGACCACCTGACTGTGTCCATGAAGAGGCTCCCTCCCGCCCTGCTAAAGGCGGTGCTGATGGCGGCGAGCCCGGGGGGGGAAGTCAGGAGGCGGGCCTTCTCAGAAGGCTCGGTAGGCCTCAAGCCTGCCTCTCGAGAAGTTTTCGAGGCTTTCTCCGAGGACATAGACGGCTTCTCAGAAGGCCAGGGGTGGCATCTGAAAAGCCCCGCAGCCTTCTGAGAGGGCCTGCCCCCTCCAACATCTCTCCTCTTTCCTCTCTCCACCTCCTCTCTCCTCTCTACTCCCTCCTCCTCCTCCTCCTCCTCCTCCTCCTTCTCCTCCTCCTTCTACTCCTCCTCTGATTCTTCGTATTGTTGATAATATTATTTGCCTAATTGGTATAATGGGAATTAACACCCTCACCAGTGTTAATAGAATTTCTGTTTCCATTGCTAATAGAAGTAGTCCTGTTATTGGTAGTAATGATACGAGTACGATTTGCATTGGCAATATGTATGCTTGAAGGTAGTAGTAAGATTATTATAGTATTACGACCCTTGAGATTGCGATTCGCAGTATTATTAGTAGTATTCGTATCAGTATGACTTTGCTTATGTTCGTATTTTTCGTGATAACAATACTCATGCTGATAGCATTAGCATGTTGCCAATATCATCCGCATGCATGCTAGCATTCGTAATATTGTTATTAGAGGTATTAGTAAAGTAGTAGTAGTCGTAATAGTAGTAGTCGTCGTAGTAGTAGTAGTAGTAGTAGCAGCAGTAGTAGTAGTAGTAGTAGTAGTAGTAGTAGTAATAGTAGGAGTAGTAGTCGTCGTCGTCGTCGTCGTCGTGGTCGTCGCAGTAGTAGCATTATTATTAGTAGCAGTGTTACTACTTAGTAATATGATTCGTCGCAGTTGTAGCATTGGCATCATTAGTTTTGGTATTGGTCGTCTTCGTGTCCTTCGTATTAATCCGAATCCGATTATTGGTAATAGTATGATGATAGTGTTTCTCCTCCATGGTATTAGTATTACTATTATTATGAGTCCTCGTATTCTTCCTCTTTTTTCTGGCAGCTACGCCAATGCCTCGAAATCCTGACCACGACCGAGGCTGAGCCGTGGCTGCGGGGCGATATATATATATATATGGGCGATATATATATATATATATGAATACAAATATTCATATATATATATATATATACACATACTCCACAGGGTGGCGAGGTGTCCTTTTTCGGCCTCCCAGGGGGCGGCGCGACACATTACCAGTTTCGCCATCTGGGAGCCCCCGTAACAACAGGGAAACAAAATCGTCCAGATCAACGAGGACCCGATCTTTATCAGGGTAGCGGCCAGGCCACCTCATGTTCCGGACAGACGCGGCCGAAGGATGGCCACATTCCGTGCCGAGTTTCAACACCTGAGCTCCACTGCTGTAGAACTTACAAGATAAACACAAAAGTTAAACAGATCTGTCCGAATAGGGGAACGCGGCCACTATCATGATCCAGCTTAGAGTGTCGAGGACAATTCCCAAAAGGGGAGGAACTGGTTCGCGATCCTCTCAGACACACACACACACGACACTGCCAATACACTCCAACTCTGCACCAGGAATGCCCAACGTCGAAGACGGGAGGAGCGTCAGGAGTAGGGGGAGGACGACGGGCAGTGCCTCGACTCTTCTTCTTCTTCTTCTTCTTCTTCCTCCTCCTTCTCATCCTCCTCCTCCTCTTCCTCCTCCTCCCGTAGGCTCGCCGCCGATCCACCTGGCGGCGTCGGCGCAGGCGTCCGTCGAGGGCAGACCGCCGCCAGTGCTGCTCGCAAGGACAGCCGCTCGCAGGTCGGTCGGGGGCCCCCGCCGCCATAGCGGTGCCTCCCCGCCGCCCCCACCCTCCCACGGCCCTCGCCCCCCGTGCTGCACGTGCGCGCTTGCACTGTACCAAGTAGGCGAAACCCATACATGCCCACTGCTCTCTGGCCAGGCCCTGAACACAGCAGCGGTGTACACGCCACGCCGCCCTGGCTTGGCCAGGAGTGCGTATGCACCGCTCCTGGGCCCAGGAAGGGCCAGGCCAGGGGGCAGTGGACATGTATAGATTTCGTCGCCCGAAATACTGCGTGCACACAGGGCGCATCTGCTCGCGGTCGCCTTCAGCTCCTGGCCCGCGCCGGCGGCCAGCAGCCTCCTCACCGCGGGGGCGTCGCCGCTGAGGGCGGCCACCTCCAGCAGCGTCGGGCCGCCCGCCTCCGCCCTCGAGGCGGGCTCCGGCAGCGGGGCGCGGCAGGAGGGACAGGAGGCGCCGTTCTTTCCGACGGCCCGCCACTGCCCCAGGCAGTCCCTGCTGAGGGGGGGGGCCTCCTCCTCCTGCTCCTCCTCCTCCTCCTCCTCCCTCCTCATCCCTCCTCCCTCCCCTCCCCTTCCCCCTCCCCCTCGCCCTCCTCCTCCTCCTCCTCCTCCTCCTCCTCCTCCTCCTCCTCCTCCTCCTCCTCCTCCTCCTCCTCCTCCTCCTGAGCTTTTCTTCATCTTCATCTTCCCTTCTCTCCTTTTCCTCCTCATCCTCCTTCTTCTCTCTGGTCGTGAGCTTGGCCCCTGCCAACTCGCAAGGGACCGCTCCGAGGTCCTCCGTGCCCTCCTCCCTCTCTTCATCCTGCTTGTCCCCTCCTCCGTGCTCCTCCGCCCCTGGCGTCTGGCGGCGCGTCGGGACCCTTGTGGGGAGCTGAGGCCCACCAAAACCGTCCTGCTCGAGGGGGGGCCGCCGCGAACTGTTTGAGGCCTAGCCGGTGGCCCCCATGAGAAGGGCGTGCTCGTCGGGACACCCCGGGCAAAGATGGGCATGGCAAGCTACCAAACGAAGAAAGGCTGAACAAGGAGCGAAGGGGGCACTTCTGGCCGCGCTTCTGGCCGCGGCGAGCCTCGGCCACGAATAGGTCCCCCGACCTAGACCTAAGGAACGGCCCAGAAACCAGAGCGCCCCCCCCCCAGAGCACTAGAGTAAGAAAAAACTGCGTGAGCATAAACTGTTGGTCTTCGCAGATGGCTTGGATCGGGTCATTTCCCCCCTCCCCAGCGGGCTCCAGCGCAGATCCAAGAAGTCCGCACGGGCCGCCGAAATTATGCCCATGACGTCTGTTCTTCTTGAAAGCACGAAACGTTCCTTTTGCCAGCGCCTTGCCAGTAGGTCACCGAACCTCGCGCCCTCATCCGACCTCGCGCCCTCGCGCCCCGCGGAGCGCGGCGGGCGCCGACCTTCGCGCACCCGCGCCCTCGCGCCCCCCCCCCCCATACCCTTGAAAGAGGCCAGAGGGCAGCTCGCTTCTGGCCCAGGCTGCGCCGCGCGCGAGGCGCAATGCTCATCTCGGCGGCGAGCCCGGAGGGGGAAGCGAGAAGGGGCGGGCCTTCTCAGAAGGCTCGGAAGTCCCCCGGCCTTCTGAGAGGTCTGCGAAGCCTCCACCGAAGACACAGCAGACGCCTCAGCAGGCGCTGAGGGCTTCTGAGAAGTCCCGCCGCCTTCTGGGAGGGCCTTCTCCTTCGTACTTCCCCCCCTCGTTCGCCGCCGATCATCGAGCGCCGCGCGCAGGCCATCACCGCGGGCGGGTCGGGGTCGGTCTTCGGTAGGGGGCCAAGGGACGATTCCCTCAGCCCGGCGGTTGCTGTTGTCTCTTCTTCTCTCCTGAGTGGAAGGGGGTGGGTCATCCCAAGGTGTGGTCGGAGGAACATCGTCCTAAACGGTGATGACCTGAGTGCTGCGCTCAGGTCGTCACCGCTGGCGGGTCGGGATCGGCGTTCGGCGGGGGGCCAGGCGCGATTCCCTCAGTCCAGCGGTTGTCATTCTCGCTTCTTCACCCATGATCCACAAAACCCCAGCCTGTGGAACCAGTGGCTGCACTTCAGGCGGATCAGCGGGTCTTCGTCCGAGGAGCCGCACAAGCACACCGCGCAGACCTCGGGGTGCGGCCGCCGACCATACGCCAGCACCAGCCCACTCGGCTACACACAAAGGGTGGCCCTAGGCAAGAGGTGACCTCTGGTGCACGGCTTGCCGCTTATTGCACACGATGCGAGGGTAGTGGACTGCTCACTGCAATTCACCAGCAGGGCCCTGAACAACGACGTCGCAGCGCCGCGCGGCGCGGCGTGGGGAGAGATCGGTCGAAGGCTGTCCCACAAGCATGCAGAATCAGCTAGGCCTGCAAATTGTCTTACACTTAGCGGTCTCCGTGCTTGGGTGTGCCGATCCCCCCCCCCAGCGCCCCCCCCACACACACCCCTTCCCCAAAAGCCGCGCACCAAAGGTCACTCCAGCGAAGGGCTACTGTTACATGTGGCCGAGTCCTGGCCAGGTCCAGGCTGGCCTCAGGGACTGGTGCGCAGACCCCCCCCGCGGGCCAGGGGGGAGGGGGGATCTGTGCCCCAGTCGAGGACCACACGCCAGGGAGCGGTGCCGCTTTGCAGACTAGCAGTTCACGAGGCCTCACTCGTGACGTCCGCGTCTCCCTTCGGCACCTCGCCCATCACCTCCTGCAGCGCCAGCTCCTTCAGCTCCGCGACCGGGCTGCCCGACGAGGCCCGAGCCAGCGCCTCGAAGGCGGCCAGGGCGCGCGGCTGCAGCGACGGCCGCAGGAGCGCAGGGGCGATCTCGGCGGGGATCTGCTGCGCCCAGTTCGCCCGGCTGACCAGGGCTGGGCACTTTTCTATCAGCTGCCTGATGAGCACCTCTCGTGTGGCGCCCAGGTGGGCTACGAGGTGCAGAATGGTCGAGCCGCCCTGAAGGCCCATGAAGTAGCAGACCTCGTTCGACAGCCCTTCCTCCAGCATGGCCGGGGAGCAGTAGGGTAGCAGTGTCTGGGCCAAGGAGACCTGACCAGCCAGCACCGCCACGGTGAACGAGGACAGGCCCTTGTCCGCCCGAAGATCGGGGGAGCAGCCCTTGGCGAGCAGATACGTGCAGACGTCCTCGTGAGACATGCCAGGGTCAAGTGGGAAAGTCGAGCCAACATCGGCATCATTTTGGATGGCCTGCCAATCGGGCCTGCGACGAATAACATCGTTTCTGACCTCTTGGTATGTTGCCCTGGCACGAATTAAGTGGTGTCTGCCACCGTGCATCCGCAACGCAGTAAAGTATCCTGATGTCCCTGATGGTCACTAGTATGGAGCAGTGAGCATCGCAGATTGACTGCTGCATCCACCACCGTGCCTGGGTACGTAGTGGAGTGTCCCCAGGTGCCTTTGGAGTACATTCAGCACTGAGTATTTCAAATGCTCTTGTAGGGGGCCCACTGCCCTAGTTCCAGGCGCTACCAGGCGCCAACTGGCGCTCTCGGGCCACGGTCGCGTGACTTTTTCCAGAGGCCCGAAATCGCAAAGAGAGCCCATCCAAGACACCCAAGATGGGCCCAAGAGGACCCAACAGGCCTCCAAGACGCCCCAAGTTGGCTCCAGGATACCCTCCAAGAGGGCCCGAAGGGGCAACCATAACTGATTGTCCCTGCGTGTTTGAAGGATGTTGACGATCTCCCATTTGCGGGCTTCCGACGCTCCAAGACGGCCCAAGGGGGCAAGAAGATCGCTCCAAGACAGCCAGAGAGGCCCCCAAGAGGGCTCCAAGACGGCCAAAGAGGCCCCCAAGAGGGTCCCAAGACGGTCCCAAGACTACCCAAGAGGCCTCCAAGGCGGCCGAGAGGGCTGCAAGAGGGCCCCAAGAAGTGCCCAAGAGGGGAAGCACGAACTGGCATTTCCAAATGCACTCTGGGACCTGCTCTTGGGCCATTCTTTGGACCGCTCAAGAAGCCAAAATCTTCCAACACGTGGAAATCCTTGCCTCATACCTTTGCTTAAGCAACACGATTCTCGACTTCTCGATTTTGCAAGCCTCAAACAAAACAAACAAGAGGCCCCGCAGAACAACTCTTAAAGGACCTCAGAGGGCCCTGGGGGTCCGAGATGACCAAAAGGGTGCATACGCAAGCGGGCCTCCAGGTGGCCCAAAGATCCTCTCCAAGTGTTCGGGCCAACGCGGTTGGAGGAAATCGCCCAACCGACCACGCACACGGCCTATTAGGAGGCGCCATCAATGGCAGCTGTGCGCTCCCGTTCCAGCTTTCATTGGCAGCACGAATATCGAAGGACGCGGTGGGCCGGTCCACGCTCAACCCTCCCTACCCCTGAACTCCCTCCTTCACCCTCCTATCATCACCCTCCTCCTCTCCCCGTCTCCCTTCTCCTCCTCCTCCTCCCTCCTCCTCCTCCTCCTCCTCCTCCTCCTCCTCCTCCTCCTCCTCCTCCTCCTCCTCCTCTTCCTCTCCCTCCTCCTCCTTCTCCTCCTCCTCCTCCTCCTCCTCCTCCTCCTCCTCCTCGTCCTCCTCCTCCTCCTCCTCCTCCTCCTCCTCCGCATAATCATTTTCCACCTTCTCGTTCTCGTCCACTTTGCCTTCCCTGGGGCAGCGGTGCAACCAAGGACATCATCACGAGCCCGCGTTTCTGGGGACCAGCGGATTTCCACTGGACGTCAATGGCACAGAACACTCGAGGCGAATGGAATGTCAATAGGTTTCTGAGCTATTCTGACCAAAATCGAACCGGGCCGGCCGAATCAAACCAGCGGATTCCTCGTGGCCCCCAGCGGCTGCGAAATGCAATGACCTGGCGGGGCTCGCGCCATTCTCGACGAGGAAAGCGACTATCTTCAGGAAGCCGGAGGCGGCCGCCGCGTCTGTCGGCATGAGCTGCTGCTCCTTTCTCACCCCGCCCATGACGTGCAGATCGGCCCCCCGCACGAACAGAAACTGGCTGGCCTCCAGGTTCCCAGCCAGCGCCGCCAACAGCGAGGGGGTGATGCCGAAGGGAGCGCCGCTGGGGCTGAAGCCGCGCTCGAGCAGCACCTGTCAGGCGGACTTGCGACTCGGAAGGAAGAAAAAGGAGCCGTAGCAACTACGGACTTCCAGCTCAGTTAGCGACGGACAGGAACTGTTGCTTAACGTGTCGCGTCGGCGGCCCCAGCGACACTCTATGCCATGCGAGCCGATAGCGTGTCGCTTCGCTCAGCGGGGCGGGAGGCTCGGGAAAGCTCGGGACTTTGGCGCCGAGGGGGGGCTGGAAGTGGATAGCGTGTCGCACCGAGGCGCGGAGGTCCAGAACTGGCGGATCGACACAGTATCCAAAAGTTCCCGACCGTAGGTCGAGTCAAGCCTCGGCGAGCAGGCGTGAGGCTGTCACCAGATATAGTCACGCGCTGAGCTGATCGGTCTGGCAACGATGACCACGGCGGAGACCACCTCGACTGACCCCCGCCGCTCCCAGGCCTCTCTCCCTCCCTCGCCTCCTCCCTCCCCATCGCGGCCACACGGTAGCAGCTGTCACAGTCCGTGCAGGCCATGTGCAAAATACAAAAGGAGGTGGAAGTTACGTTAAGAAATCTCGCTAACAGAGATCGAGGGGCACAGTTGTACGGTCGACAGTGGACCTCAAAGGATACATCCCAACTCCCACGAGTGTCCGGAGACGTTGGGGGATTAGAAATTTCTGTGGTGCACCTGCTGACAGGCCCGCTTATTATTCGGTGTGCATTCTGCAGGTTCAGACTCCGCATCGCGTTCCTCGCTGTCCCACATCACCGACAACTGCGCCTCCTGTCATTCTACTCTGGAGCCTGGGCGCAAGCTGGAGCGGTGCCCCTCTGCCACGTGGCAGTCGTGTCAGGACAATGACAGCACCAAGGGTGCACAGTCAACCCGTACAGTAAGGATGCGCGATAAGGATGCAAGGGCCTTGGACGCCCATGCCGAGGCTCTTCGAGCGGGGCTGGCCTTCGAAAGTGGTTGAGGGTGGGCCGAAGATGACCGAAGACGCAAGAATGCAAGGGTACCCTTGGGAAGTCGCTCATGCTTACTGTGCGGGTTGACTGTAGCTGGAGTGGCTCCGGGTGGGGCCCGCCATGCCTTCCCACACGAGACACCGGTGCGACAGGCTTGGCAGGAAGCAGGCTTAGTCCCGAGGGGAGCGGGGCCCTGGGCCCTGGGGCTCTCCTGCCTCTGGGGCGGGGGGGGCAGCTTCTCGTGCTGGCCCGCTCCTGAACGGCCCTGGGGCCTGGGCAGGGACCCGCGAGCCCGGAACCCTCCGGAGAAGGCGGAGCGCGGCCTCCCTGACAGCCGAGGGAAGTCCCGAAAGGCCTGGCGCTGTCCTGAAAGCGCCCGGTCCCCGACCGCACACGCGGCCCCTCGCCCAGGTCCACAGCTGCAGGGCTTGCGCAGCACTCGGGGGCACGACGAGCAATGTGGACGCCACCGGCCCTCCCTACCAGAACTGGAGGCGTCCAAGAGGGGGGCGTCCAAGAGAGGGGTCGCAGAACATGGCCAGAGCCATGGGCGCAGACCAGGGGGGTACCAAGAGACGTAGTGATAGAAGAATAGGTGGCCACGAGATCCGGGGTGATATCATGGCCCCCGCCATGAGATCCCCCCCGTCCTGTCGCAGAAGGCCTGGCGCGCTAGTTGGGCGCGGCTAATTAGGCACGCAAGTCGGGCACGCGAGTCGGGCACGCGAAGCGGGCGCGAACCGATGGGGAGCAGGCCTCGCTCTTATCCACAAGCGCAGAGCTTCTTTACCAGAAACCTTTTGCATCTTCCCCAGAAGGAAAGGAGAAGAGGAACGCGCGACCACTGAACCTCACCACGGCGTGACTGGCACAGTAGCGTGACACCGACGATCGCCAGTAAACGAAGAACGCTGCACGAGTCGACCTGTCTTGGAGGCGGCCAGGGGGCCCCAACTGGCTGGGACCCCAGAAATCGATCGGGAGGGGGATGAAGCCAAATCCACTCAAAATCGGTCCCCCGACCCCTCCCGGGTTCCATTTGGTGTGATGTTTCACCCCGGATCCGTTTTTCACGTTCCCGAAGTCCGACAACGGCCCCACAAAGGACGAAAAAAACAGAAAACCGTCTCGAACCCAGGGTCGCGAACCTGCCCGCCCTTCCTGCTGGCCGGAACCAGCTGGGCCACCTCAGACACCCCAAGTGGCTTCAAGACCTGTCACTTCTTGACCAGAGGCCCCCATGCCAGAAGCCTCCGAGACCTGCTCCCCTCAGGCCCCCAGTCAGGGGGGACGTCAAGGTGGGGTAGGGGCAGAGGTGGGTTTTGAGGGAAATCGCTCAAAACGGCCCGTGTATGAAGGAAATGTAATGCTGTCTTAAGCGCGGGGGGCGGGGAACTGCGCAAGCAGTAAAGAGTTTTCTGTTCCACTATTCTCGTGAACACAGCAAAGTCATCGCGATGAAAACCCGACCGACCTCGGATCGGACGGGTGCTACAGGTGTCAGAACAAACACTCTGGTCCCAGACGATTAGTCGAGCATTCGAAAATTGCAAGAGAGAGAGAGAGAGAGAGAAAAAAAAAAAAAAAAGAGGCCTTGGGTTGGCGGCGGGAGCCAAAACGGAACAGCTACAGAGAAGCTGTTCGGCACCGCAGTGCAATTTCCCAAACAGTGCAAGCACGACGGAGCAAGGACCCCCGCGGGGCGAAGCGCGATTATCCACGCGCCCACGGACCGGGAGGGTTGGGGTCCACGACAGGGCCCGCTATTTTACATCATTCATGTGCACGCACCCCCATGCTGTCTTAAGCGCGGGGGGCGGGGAACTGCGCAAGCAGTAAAGAGTTTTCTGTTGCACTATTCTCGTGAACACAGCAAAGTCATCGCGATGAAACCCGACCGACCTCGGATCGGACGGGTGCTACAGGTGTCAGAACAAACACTCTGGTCCCATGGCATCCCCAAAACAGGACGTTCGCTCAAACATTGAAGAAGAGGGACCTGGCCTGAGACACAAGGGTCTTCGCGAGCGCTCTATTCAAAGCTTGTGGGTAGGTCTGGGCTATGGTGGTCCACCTCACACCTTCGGGCGATGCCCCTTCGAGGATGAGGTGCGGCCTGCCCGTACGGCTGCAAATTCCTGCAGGCCCGTCGCATGTTTTTGTTAATCGGGCGAGCTCGTCTGGGTGGCAATGTCCTGCGAGGAAACGGGTTCGCTTTCGCCAGCGAGCTCCAAACTGACAGAAATCTGAAATGACGACTGATACACACTGTAGATTGGCGAGTCTGAGGGGCTCTGGCGTTTTAAACATGTAGCTGCTATGAGGGTTCTCTAAAATCCACGGGACGCAAGAACGATTGCACTCTGCGATTATCTTCAGCACTGCACGCAAGCATTTGTTGCCCGTCTGTAGTTTCTCCCAATCCTTGGGGGCCATCTCACTACGGGAAAAGCCCCACGGCCGCGCGACGTCTCTGATCGCGGCCGAGCGGGCTTTCATTATAGAGAAGGTAGAGCAGGGAGGCGCAAGCATTACGCCTCGGCAAATCCCTGCACGGATGTCTGAGAGCAAACGTTTCAGGACGGGCGGCCGCGTCAGGTCGCCGCGGTCCCCGCGGCGCTTCTCCCAGACCCTTGCCTGGAAGCCGCACCTACGGATGGATCTGGCCACGCCGCCCTCACCGGCGAACGCGTCGGCAAAATAGATGTCGTTCACGAGCGGCCGCCCTTCAGCGGCAGCGGAACGACCAGTCCGTGGAGGATGATCGCCTCGGCACGTCGCTCGCACTCGGAGGCGTACATCTGTACCTCGATCGGGTGCTGGCGGTATCCGCTGGCGAGACGTGCGTGTCGTTCGTAACGCAGGACGCTCGTGTCGCCGCGCCACTGACCTCTCTTCTTGATGTCGACCAGGGTCCTCAGATGCCGGGCCGCATCGATGGACGGGCCCGAATGGCGGGCTTAGTGCGGCACTAACTTGGGCACCCCCATCTCCTTCAGTTCTCCCATGGCCGGGCCGATCCACGTCGGCCAGCTCGAGTCCAGGAGGATGGATACATTGGCGTCGCCTATCTTGCTTCTGCCCGCCGTCTCCTCGGGGTGAACCAGCAGCGATCAGTGGGGCGTCACCCCGGGCGTAGGCGGCGTCAACCCTGAGCCGTGCATGCACAGCAGCTGTCCCGGCCTCAGGTGGGTGCTCAGCATGATCAGCACGAACAGCGCCATGACGCGACGCCCAGCCGTCACCAGGGCGTTCATGAGCCCAAACCACACGCCTAGGGCCTCGGGCCTCCGCGAGCGGCTGGGGCACAACTTGCACCAGCCTCGGAGGGCCCGCCAGGCCGGGGGCAGCCGCCTGGAGCCCAGGCGGTTGCAACCCGGGTGGAGGTGCAGCCAGCCCGCCAGCGTCTTGGCCCCCCTCGAGGCCTCCACGCCGGCGAAGAAGGTCCTCCCGGAGTATGCGGCGAAAAGGCCGTCCAGCACGTCGTCCCCGATGCTGTCGACGTCCTTCCCCTTCGACTCGACGAACTGCTTGAATTTGTTCGCCTCCAGCCTGTACTCTGTGTGCACGGGCCTTGTCACAGCCCGCTTCTCCAGCAACGTCAGCCCGTCGCTCTGCGCCTCCATGGCCTCCTCGAGGTACTTGCGGAGGCGAGACTTGGACCGGTCCAGCAGCGTCCGATGGCGCTTGGCGCCGACGCCCTCGCTGACGGATGTGGCGCCAGTGTTCGACGAGGGCGAGCGCTTCCAATGTCGACGATCGGGCGGCTCGGCGAAGTCGCCGCTCGTGAAGTCGGTCATGGCCGCCGCCATCTGCTCCAGCGTCCTGGCAGTCGCGGCTGCCTGGCGACCCGCTGGCAGAGGGGCGAGGCCGGCTGCAGGCCGGGGGCTCAAGGCGCGCTCTCGCCGCGGCTGGGCCGAGGCGTGACACACCTGCCTCGGGGCGGCTGCCAGTCCGCGCGCCCTCGAAAGGCGCGAGGGCGCCGCCGCGGGCGCGAGCCCTGGGGCGCTGCTGCCACGGGCCCACGTCCCTGACGCATGGGCGGGGGCCGACAGGGCTCGGCTCTTC